CAGCTGAACATGGGTCAGGCCAATGATAGGGAATGAAACTCAGGTAAGTATGTGCATGTAATTTTCCTTATAGTGTTCAAATTCAAAGATACTTGCAGCACATCCCCAGCTTAACAAGACAGAGGCATTAACTTCTCATTATTTTACTCACGTGAGAAGAGGCAGAGGCACAACCAACAGAGGTAGAGTTTGTATGTGCTTTTGGTTCCATTATTGGGTAAGGTGGGGACGGGACATGCCAAGCAGTTGTTTATGTACATAGGGATAAATGTTTTATTCTCCTGAAGGATCTCAATAAAACTTCTATGAAAATGCTTTGTAGTCTTCTTCCAATAGTTTCTAGAGGTGGCTGCCCTGTGTCTTCCTCCACGTAGGACACTTTCCCATGTCACTCCATGATGAATTCAGCTGGCACTATTGCAGTAAACAGACTAACAGCATATGGGCCTGAGTGGCTTCACAATGATGATAGCCGCTCTCTGTGCCTTTGTTACTCTTAGGAGTGAGCTATAAGACAAAAGTAGCACTGCCTGTGGAAAACAGTGCCTGTATTCATTGCCATGGGTGTGTGTGAACTAGAGACCAAAATGTTACTGCCTTATGAAACTGAAATTCCTTCCACCCTTCACCCATGGTGGGCCATACATGCTATGGCTGGGCTGGAAGGTGGTACTGTGTAGAGGTGTTTCAAAGATGAAATACAAATAAGCATGTCTTATTAAACATTTTAATGGGCCTAAAGAAAGGAAGTTTTGAAACTTGTCTTTCCCTTTCCACAGTGACTGGAATGATAGACTAGCCCATCATTGTTTTTATCATCTGTAGCATTCTTCACCTGCAGAATGCCTAACTCAGACAAGTAGGAGAAAGAAGATGTCTAGGAAAGATGTATTCAGTGAGATTCTACAGGCTAGTGCTGCATCAGAGCAAAGTGTCTTGAGGCATGGAGAAGGAAAGAATGGACAGGAGAAAGACCCAAGAGTCCCAAAAGGAAAAGAAAAGGGAGATGCATCCGAATATAACGGGTCTTCTCAAGCAGCAAACCAAATGGTGCAAACCCTGGTGGACATAAAAGACTAAAAATTCCAGACTTTCTTCCCACCTATGCAGTCTTTAAAGAACTCCATCGTAGCACCACCCCCTGTCATGCCGCAAGTCCTCTCTACTCCTACCAGTCCACATTTTTCTGTATGTGTGAAAAATGTAAACTGGAGTGCCCACATAAAAACCAAGAGAGCCAGAGCCAGAAAGTCAAGCAGCTGTCTGCGAGTACAGTGTATGACCTTGGAAAAGATTAGTGGGAGACAGTGTATTTGGGGTTTGGGATTGACTAAAGAGGATTGTGGCTATAAGCTAAAATAATGTTCTATTATTTCTGGTTCTCCTGTGTTCAGAGAAGCAGAAACTTGTACATTCCTTGTAAATACACAAAATTGCATTAAAGAAAATCCCATACTTGATTATCATTTTCTTCTTCCAACTGGAATATCACCAGGAGCCCCAAAATTTGACATGCCACTCTAGTTGAAAAGGGGCAACTAAATGCCTATTGGGTCCCATGTCAAGAAGTGGATTGTCCTTCTATCTTCAGAAGGTTGTACAGAAACCTTATAAAGGAACTACTTGTGGCACTCAATCAATGGATTCTCTGTCATGAAGCTGTTGGCATTTAGAATTACTTTTCAGTTATAACTGTGTCTGTACTTCAAAGTTGACTGCATAGAAATCAATTACAAACGGAACAGAATGTGAAGGAGAGAACAACTGCAATGGGAAATTTAAGTAATATTTGTTGATTTATGTTATATAAAATAGAGGCAGACCCATGTTATTCTCCAGCACAACTACACATATTACAGCTCAAAAGATAGTTTATTATATTTGATATCTCTTGGTAAGAATTACAGAGATGTAATGGTGGTGAAGAAAGATTTAACACATGATTTTGCACTCCATGTGAAGTCAATAAAGACCAGCACATGCATATAAGCCTTGCAGGATCCAGGTCTCAGTACGGCAGAGTACTTAAACACATATTTAATTTTAAGCATGTCCTGAAATGACTTGCTTACTATGTAGCAGCACTTTATCTTAGAAAAATAAATGTTAGGTTAGAATACGTTGCAACTGTTAGAATCTTAGCAGAACTCATTTTGGTGGATGCTCACCACACTGCTATATTAGACCCACATGTTGGATTTTGCCTGTGTTTAGGTTGGGGGTAGAGTCCACAAACTCTGTATTTCTCTACACATTCTTGGAATGCACATCCTCTGTGTAGCACTCCTTTCTGAGATATGGATTCGGCAGGCCACCAGCACAGGTCCTCCTGAAATTAATGTTACTTTCTTAAGCCTTCTCAATAGCAACTGCATACTCCTCCGAATTCCACTGAAACCATGGACTTTGGATAACTGTTGCATCCTTCAGAGAGTATTTGGGAGTTAAACTAAGAGAGAGAGAGAATGATCACAAAACAATTCCCAAACAATTGTAAAAAAAAAAGCATAAGAGATATACAGATCTATGGGAAAATAACACACATGCATGGCTATCCCTACTTCCAGTGTCCCTATAATTTCAGAATCTTTTGTGTATAGGATCTTTTTTTAGGATCCCAGGATTCTCCTTTCTTCTCCTTTACCCAGTGTTGTTGCCTTGTTCGAGAAAGTGAGAAAGTGCCTCTGCTAAAACCACAATTATTATAAAATTCCATGCTCCTCTGTAAGATAACTTCCCAGAAGAGCTTCATGTCTTTTTTCAGGTGATATATTGCATGTTGACTGCCCAGTTGAAGTTCCAGATTGGGGAAAACTGGTTTCCCTAGGTGGCAGCCAGCTTATTGTTTAAGGTGCTTCCATTTGATTGGAAGATTATATAGATTAATAATTCTTGATGGTCTCCCTTGTTAACCTACAGCTAGTGGTACACAAAGGCTACGTCTACACTGCGGTAGTTCTTCAGAAGAGGAAATGCAAATGGAAAACTCATTTGCAAATCTTGCGCTCTCATTTGCATATTCTCTTCTGATCTTTTTTGCAGGAAAAAACGCAGCGTAGAGGGGGCCATTTTGCTTTGTTTTGCACAAGATCCTGTAAACCTCGTTTTTTGAGGAATAAGAGATCTTGCGCAAAACAGGTTTTTTCTGACAAATGGCCTGGTCTACATGGGGCTTTTTATCGCAAAAACCTCTTCCGCAAAAAGGATAGGAAGAGAATATGCAAATGAGAGCGCAAGATTTGCAAATGAGCATTTGCATTTCCTCCTCTGAAAAATTGTTACAGGGTAGACATAGCCTTTGAGTCTATGCTAAAAACTCCTGATTTTCTCAATCCATTATGGAGATTAAAAGTCAAGAACAAAGACACAGTGAATTTACAATGAAAATGGAGTTGCTGACCAATATGGACACGTGCAGACGTACATTAGTCTGTCATGAAGTTGCCAAATCTGTAATTTTTATTGCCAGTCTTGCAATTTTTGGTGTTTTTCTTAAAACCTCAGTTCCTGGAGTCAATCAGTTCTTGTGAGAATGTCAACTTTCATGTAAAAACTAAATAAAGTAAGTTTATTGCCCTCTTGGAGAAAATCTTGAAAATGGGAACACTAGAAACCAGAAGGCACATAAAAAGAATCCCAACTTTATTATTTTTGTAATTTCATGATTTTAAAGCCAATCATGTTGTTTTGGGGCCTGATTCTTGATGTTTGAATGCTTGAGGTTGACAGTATATCATGTATATAGATTGTATAGACCATAAACTTATGCCTTGTGAGTCTGTGACATTATCATTCAGTTAAATCAGACTGAATGAAGGAAAGAAATGTAATCTTTTCTGTATGTAATTTGAAAGGAATAGTTTGGCTTTAAGACACTGTTTGAGAAAAGTCAGTCCAATAAAAAATGAGTGGTTTGGAGGTGGCCACTAAGGCTATGTCTAGACTGCAAGCCTCTTTCGAAAGAGAGCGTCTAGACTGCATGTTGAACTTTCGAAAAAGCGGCTTGCTTTTTCGAAAGAAAGCATCCAGTGAGTCTGGATGCTCTCTTTTGAAGAAGCCCTATTTACATTGAAGAACGCCTTCTTTCGAAAGAGGAACTTTCGAAAGAAGGCGTTCTTCCTCGTAAATTGAGGTTTACCACCATCGAAAGAAAAGCTGCGTTCTTTCGAATTAATTTCAAGCCGCGTTCTTTCGATTTAATTTCGAAAGAACGCGGCTTGAGTCTGGACGCAGGGGAAGTTTTTTCGGAAAAAGGCTACTTTTCCTGAAAAAACCCCTGAGTCTGGACACAGCCTAAGGGTACATCTACACTGCAGCGTTATTTTGGAATAACTGACGTTATTCTGAAATAACAAAGGGTGTGTCTACACTACAAGCCTTTATTTTGAAATAATGTCGAGCTGGAGGACTTCTTACTCCAACTCATGCTAACCCTTATTTTACAAGGAGTAAGGGAAGTCAAAGAAAGAGGGTTCTTCCTTTGACTTCCTGCTGTGTAGATAGCACCAAAGCCGAAATAAGCTATTTCAACTTCAGCTACACAATTGATGTAGGCGTAGTTGCATAGCTTATTCTAACTTTATCCCTGCTAAAGAGACCAACCCTGTGAAGTGGTGAACATCTGCTGTTACATGCTGAATGTTCTCAACTCTGAACATCTGCTGTTACATGCTGAATGTTCTCAACTCATAATGAAGTTAGTAAAGTGAAAGCCAGCCAAGGTCAGTTAATTTTTTTTATCTGAGGTGAACCCTGAGCTACCAATATGGACCTTAAACACATACCAATAGTATGTTGTGTGTGTCCGTTTGCGCCTGCAAAAGTCCATAGTTTTGTTTGCAAATGTGTGTGTATGTGGAAAATATATGATAATGAGGCGATGCATTGAAAAATAACAGTGGAAGAAGAGAAACACTCTATGTAATTTGTAGTTTGGAAGGTAAACTGTAATCATTATTTAGCATTCTGCACTGCATTTATTTTGCTCTTTCTACACCCAGGAATTAAACATAACAAGCTGCAATGGTCCTAGCTTGCGAGGGGACACAATACTTCTTCATGCAAGCAACTTTTGCAGGCAGCTGACATCTGTGGATATAAGCTGGACAGGGGCTACTGATTTAGGGGTCATTGCTCTAGCAGAAGCTTCTTTAAGGTAAAAGACTTAAAACCTCCCCACTTCTACACCTGCTTGTCTTACAGCATTAGGTAGACATTCCTCCTGTAGATCTGCTTATTAAGTAATGTGAAAGATCAGTTGTAGTCATTGGGCATGTGCCAAAGCTCTGCTTAGTGTGGAGGAATTGAAGTGGTGGGGGGGATGAGAGGGGGAGGAGGTTAGGAGTGGGTTTTAGCTCTGGCTCCCTGGTTCCCAGGTCAAGCCACAACCTTGGTGGAGTTAGAGTTCCTTCATAGCAGCACAAACTTGTGCCACTGATACAGGCAATGTATCTGTAACAGAACAGAGCTCTGCCTGGTTCTAAAAAGTTCCTGATTGCTTCCCTGGGGGAAGATATGGTGACAGTAAGACTCTTAAGTGGCAAGAAGGTGGCAGGACAGCTGCAACTGCCATGTAACTTTTTTGAAGCTGATGGCGTTATTAAACTAGGGGTGATTTTTTTAAATATAGAGAAATAACTGTCATTTTACATTTCAGCCTCCGGGGCCTTTCTGCTAATGGATGCCAGCTGACAGATAATGCTATAAATGCCTTGGTTGCAAAGCATGGAAAAAGGTAATTCATATTCACACAATGATCCTGCACAAAGATATTAGCATTTGGGGTTGGCTGTTCTATTTTTGGGGGGAGGGAGGTAGTTATTAATTGCTAACAGTTGTTTCTCCTCTGGCAACCTACTTTAATAAAGGTACAACATACAGGAGTGGTAGTAAAGAGAATGGCCCTTATCATCTGACATTGGTCAGATTTATGAATGGTTGTTCATCTTCTATCCTTTCACTATGGTGGCTCACCTATCTTCCTAGCACTTCCTGCTATGCCCATCCTGTAAAAACCAACATGCAGCTTTAATTCTGACTATATTTACATGGCCTATTCAAACCACCCGAACATGAGGCACCAACATACACCCAATCACAACATATGTAAAAATACTTGAACTTGTAACCGATAATCTTAGTCTCAGAATTAAGACTTAAGACATCTTATTTTATTTTGTTTTGTTTTTTTTCAGGAAGAGGGTGGAAATTTTCAAGGTGTGAGAGAGGTAACTAGGGTTGAGAAGGGGAGCTTATGAATGGAGCATGGAAGAAAGATTGAAAGAATGAATTCCTTCTTTCTATTCTTTACAGAATTTGTGTTGGTTGATACACGGTCTAACAACCTTAACTCAAAGCTAATGAAGTTTTGTTATGTGAGACTATGTATTGGCTGTCACGCTCAAGCCCTTTGATAGCAGTAGAGCAAATTCCATGAAATAAGAGATTTCATAGTAAGCTTTAAATAATCACGGGAATGAACATGAAGTATGGAGGAGGGAGCCCATTATTTTGTGAAGGAGTGAGGGGCAATGGGATAATTCTGTAAATAACTTCTGACTACAGAATCTTGGCTAAACATTTGTAATTAAAAATAAAGGTTAGAAACAGATTATAAATCTGTTGGGAACCATTGCAGACAATGAAAATAAATTATTTTTACATTACCTATTTCAACAATAAGGTATAATAAGGCATGTGCCATTAATGATAAAATCAATTTTTGGCTTGTAATAATGAAGTAGTAAATAAAAAAGATCAGTGGTATGAATTGTGATTTTTCCCCCCTTACCTAGACAAAGAGGTACTTTGAGATAGTGTTGCTCGCTTTTCACAGGACTTTATTTAAATACATGTAATCATAAATCATGACAATCTAGTTTTATTGTGTTTCTGACATTCTATTTGTTATTGTTAACAAGTATGACTCAGACGATGGATAAACCCATTAACTGAGATCTGTGGTTTTGTTTAGAATCTGTGGGTAGTTCTAATTCCTTTGATGTTTTGCTCAGGAAAGAAATGAAAACATAGTAAATGAAATCAGCAGAGATGTTTATGTAGGTTTCTGCTGAATTGTATTGGAACTGGTTTTTAGACAGAAACTTGGTTTAACTAATCAGAATGCACACAAACTCACAACTCAGGTATGGATTCTGATTTTTTTTTTCTGTAAAGTCGAAGGGCTCATTCCTCAACGGTGGCAAGTTTACAGAATGGAAGAGTGTTCGCTTGCTTCTCCCCTAGATTTTCTGGGCACACAAATGCCCCTGGCATAACTTAGAGCAGTTTCAGTGCTGCTTTAAGATATGTCACCTTAGCAGCAACAGTGGCTGAAAAATCTGATGGATTGCTTTTTGCAAAGCAGCTGTATCCAGGACCTAAGACTGTGCCTTAGCTCGTTAGACTCTGAATTTTCATAAAGAAGTTAGAGATGCAAAATTCTGTTAACTAGTTAACCCAGGGGTGGGCAATAATGTTAGACGAGGGGAGGAGGCACTTCACTAATTTTTGAAGTGGCCCCAGGCTGCCGCGCAAGGGTTGGGGCCTCTAGCAGAAGGGTCAGGGTCAGGATACTTCCTGCTCCCCATCCCACAGACCCTGGTTGGCCTGGAGGTGGGGAAGCACGTGAAGTGTTTGCCTTCTACCCTCCCCATGCCTAGAAAGAACTGCCAGCTGTTCAGGGCCTTGGGGCAGGAGGAGTGCACAAAGTCTCTCACTCCCTGCCCCCTCCCTGCAAGGGGCGCACAGCACTCATAGTGAAAGTACTGTACACCCCTTGTAGGGCAGGAGGAGACTTCACGTTCTCCCCACACTAAGGCCAATTGGGGTCTGGGGGTGGGAGGAATGCACAAAGTCTTTCACTTCCTGCCCCTGCCCTGCAAGGGGCACGTGATGCTTTCAGGGTGGGAACAGGTAGCAAGAGACTTCAAATGCTCCTCCCGCCCCTAGGCCCCGATTGGCCTGGAGGCGGAGGAATGGCAGGGCAGCCACAGGCTAGATCCACCCGCCTGGTGGGCCAGATCCAGCCTGCAAAGGACCCTTTGCCAACCCCTAAGTTAACTGGTTAAATGTTACGTTTAACTGGTTAAAGGGGGCAAGCAAGAGGGCTCCTCCAGCCCAGATGGGCTGCAGCAGCCAGGCCAGGTCCACCATGAGCAAGGGCTGGAGCAGCCAGGCCCAGCCTACAGCAGGCAAGGGCTGCTCTAGCCAGGCTAGAGCACCCCCAGTCCACAGAATAATCCTCCAGGCTGGAATAGCCCTCTGCCCACATCAGGCGGGGGCTACTCCAGCCCCCACTGGTTACCCATAACCAGTAAGCATCACCTGGTGAAGGGCTAGGTTGAACTTCCAGTCCTAAATTTGGAGCATTGTGCAGCACCACTGTATCCCAGGGAGTGTCTAGACTACAAGGTTTTTTCGAAAAAAGTGGCCTTTTTTCGAAAAAATGTCCCCTGCATCTAGACTTCCGATGCGTTCTTTCGAAATTAAATTGAAAGAACGCGGTGTTTTTTTTGACCGTGGTAAATCTCATTTTACGAGGAATAATGCCTTTTTTCTAAAGTGCTCTTTCGAAAAAAGGCGTTCTTGAATGCAAACAGGGCTTTTTCGAAAGAGAGCATCCAGACTGGTTGGGTGCTCTCTTTCGAAAAAGTGGCTCGCTTTTTCGAAATAAATTATTGCAGTCTAGACGCTCTCTTTCAAATGAGGCTTGTAGTCTAGACGTAGCCCCTGAGAAATGCCATGAAGAAATAGTGATTCAGTGGTCCCCTAGACTCCTCCCGTGCATCTGCAAGTAGGAAGTAATTTACTTCATTCCTTTCTGAGGTGCAGCATACTTGCTCCCTCATGCAACAGGGACCAAAATGTGGGGATAGAGCCATAGCTCCTCTACTTGCTGCCTACTTGTTCGCAAGGAATTTTGGGTCACAGCCTCTACAATCCCCTCACGCTTGAAGGGGCAACTTGGGAGAGTCCTGTGCATGCATGCGGTGTGAGGAAGAAGCCTTACTCCACAGTTCAGCTGCATAGGAAAAGGGCACAACTAAGCTTTTTGTCATTTACAGAATAGAGGCAGCCTCACCAGCAGAAGAGAAGCCATGGGAATAAAGGCTCAACTTATCACATATAGCTGCCTAATTCTGGGCATGTTGAGGCACCTGAAATATTAACCTGAGTTTCAGAAATATTAAGTGCAGTCTCATTGAAATTAATGAGAATTTATGCCCCTGAAAGTCAGGTATCTTACAGTATTTAGGACTCTAAAATGTGAACTTAGAAGCCTAGTGCTAAGTACCTATATTTAAAAAAAATTAACTCAAAGAATTCAGATGGAGTTGAAAATCTTTAGGAAGAGTGATTGTCATGGGCATCTTCCAAAAACATCTCCTCTTTACCAGAAAAGAAAGCAGCCAACAGACAACATAAATCAGGATAGATTAATTTACTCTGATATTTATGGATATTAAAAAGAAAAAAACAATGTGCAATAGGATACATGGATAAAGCAAAACCAGATGATCAACCTAGTCTTAACCCTAAGACTCACTGGAGATAGAGAAGAAGCTCCCTTCATTCACCCAATAATGATACCTATGTGCTGGAACAGTTGTGGAATAGTTTTGGAGATTACAGCCAGCAGTCTCTAAATCAGGGGTTTTTCCAGTCTTCTTTCTTCCATTTAACAACATATGAGATCATGGAATACACTTATCTACAGCCTCCTGTCTTTAGAGTTCATTCTCTCATCTGAAGGTAAATCTCAAACTCACATCATTTTAACATTTCTCCACAGAACCTGGTTCACCCCAAGGCACCATCTTCTCTTCATTTAAGTCCTGCCTGAAGACTTAGATATTTAGTCACACTCACAAGTAGTCAAGTATCAGAGGGGTAGCCATGTTAGTCTGAATCTGCAAAAGCGGCAAGGAGTCCTGTGGACTCTACTTCAGTTAGTCTATAAGGTGCCACAGGACTACTCGCCACTCACAAGTAGTGAATAGGTTATTTTATGAATATTCCATAAAGAAGGAACAGGGACACCTGCACCTGGTGAGTTGACCCCAGTTAAGTTTAGAAGATGGTACCTGGTCCTAGAGGTGGAAAACCAGGGTGAGTCAGGCCTGAGAGTCCATCAGGAATGTGACAAAGTGAGCACATGCAGACATGGAATGCCAATGCCTTCTCCCATGGAATAGGGAGATAGGTGAGAAGGACCGAATATTGAGAGCAGGACAGCACGAGGGAAGTGTCCTGCGGAGACTCTCTGGGTGGCGCTACTAAATGAACAGAGCATTGATGATTCCTCCAAGAAACCCTGAAGAAGGAAGGACTGAGGAGTGAAGAGGACAATCCCCTGGGAGGTGTAGCCCAGGGTAGACTGAAGATCTGATTTTGTGAATTTTGCCCGTGATGGAAGAATATAACTTCAGTGGCAGTGTGTCCTTTGGGAACCGGGGAGAAGATCAGCTTCATTATAATATATGAAGTCAAAACTGATCCTTCCTCCAAGCATCTCATAATATCTCATCTTTTCTGTGTTTGGCTTTCAATTAGTGCTTATTGACAAGCACTGTTTTCATTTTGTATGTGAGCACACTTATTATGAATACACGAAGAGAGTTTTCTGAAGTTAAATAAACGAAGTACTGCTTAACTTTCAGGACATGTATGGTCCCATTAAAGTGAAGCTTAGCTCTAAAAATTGATGTACAATTTGGCTAATAATGGGTTTAGCTTTGCAGTTCTTTACCATTGACCTTGCTTGCAAAAACACCATCTCACGAAATCGATGTTAGTCTAGATAGCTTCACATATTCAGGAACCAGTTAACAGAGATCTGCTGATATTGGTTTTTTTTCTGTGCATCATGGTAAATCTCATTAAATTTAAGGAAATTATATAAAAACACATGAAGAGAAGAGCTATTTAGAGCACTTTGCTGAAACAAAATTTGTATCCGCATCTGATCCGCAAACATGATCCATGAATATCTACATATATAAAGCAGATATCTACAGATTTGCAGGATTCTAGAAATAGCTTCTATTGCACAAGATCTTTAGTGCACAAAGAATGTTTTCTTAAAAGTTAATGTAAATTGGCATTCCGAGAGTAGAGACTTTTGCAAGGTTAACAAGTTGCCAGCAATGGTCATATTGCATCAGTTTACAGCAGTTTGAAGCCAGTATTAACTGGGCATGACAGACTATAGTGTATGGCTTTTTCATTAAGTAAGAACCTAAATGACATGCTGAAGAAATATTATTGGTTGAAAGATAACGCTATGCTGCTTCTATTTTCAGTGAATTCTGCTTTTTTTTCACTATTCAAGAATTGTGCTACATTTTGTCTGTTTTCAAAAAGTGCTTTCTTTGAGGACAAAAGAAGGTGGTGATTATCTGCCACACTGGCCACAGGAGAGAGCTCCAAAATGCTCTGCAAGGTATATGAGCACACATTAGAATAAAGGAAACACAAAAAACTTTGCATATCTATTTGATTTCCTTCAGTGAATAAATTGTGGAGTCTCAAAGTTATCAGGAAGCCTAAATGTTGTCTGTTATTTTAATCTGCCTTGCTGCGTTGATAGAATGACATATAAAATCCTTCTAAACAATAAATTGTTAAACCTTCATCTGCCCTTTCTTGCTTGGTATCACACAGTGCTGTCGATTAGACTAAAGCAGTATCTATTAGAACACAGGACACAATTCTGCTCTTCCACAATAGTTGTGTCTCACTGAGCAGTCAGTGGGAATTGCACACAATGGACTACATCATTAGCTTGTGTGGATTGAAGCCAGTGGAACTATGCTGATATACGTCAGTGAGGTTCTGGATCTGCTGGCTATTTCTGAGAGAACAAGTGAGATCATTATGTGTAGAATTTCTTTTTTTTTAAAATAGGTGTAATACAGTTACCAAGGGACACTTTTTATATAGTTTCAAAAGCAATTAAACCCTATTGTTGGCAGAGATGCTAGTTGCAGATAACGCTAATGAGAGTATATATACAATCCCAATAATAGTCTCTTTCAGGCTTGTCAATAACAATATCTTTAGTAATAGTTTTAAGAGGATCCTTGGTGAAAATTTTTGACCTTGAGTGCCTAAAATTTTGTACCCTAAATCCATGGTTAGGCACTTACAGACAGTGATCTGGTTTTCAGAGTTACCAAGCATCTGTAGATCCCATTGATTTCACAGGACAAACTGGACTTTACAGTGATAGCTGGAGTTATCTCACTGAGTATTTGTCTATAGCATTCTGGGTGCAGTTCCTGTACATAAGGCTGTCTATCTTAGACACTGAGAACAGGTGGTTGCTAGGGCAACAAAATGTTTAGTTATAAACCAGCCAGGATCTATATCCTGTAATTAAAGTTTCTTTACAATCCCTGTTACTCTCACTCTCTGCTGCTCCACCACTTTCAAAAAGAACATGGAATAAATCTTTCTCCCAGTATTAACCCCATCTCGTCCAAACCTCACACATTTGTATTTTAATTTAGGGTGTGATCATACTGATACATATCAGTCTCTGGACATTTAGAATTGATGGAATAGGTTGTATAACATATGGTATGTCTACACTGCAGAGTTTTTCTGGGCTATGTCTAGACTGCAGGCTTCTTTCGAAAGAGGCTCTTTCGAAAGCATCTTTCGAAAGAGCCTCTTTCAAAAGATCGCGTCTAGACTGCAGGCGGATCTTTTGAAAGAGCAATCCGTTTTTTCGAAAGAGAGCACCCAGCGAGTCTGGATGCTCTCTTTCGAGGAAGCCCTATTTACATTGAAGAACGCCTTCTTTCGAAAGAGGAACTTTCGAAAGAAGGCGTTCTTCCTCATGAAACGAGGTTTACCGCCATCGAAAGAAAAGCCGCGTTCTTTCGAAATAATTTCGAAAGAACGCGGCTTGAGTCTGGACGCAGGGGAAGTTTTTTCGGGAAAAGGCTACTTTTCCCGAAAAAACCCCTGAGTCTGGACACAGCCCTGGAAAACCTACACTTATGTCCACACTGGAATTGCATTTTTTCGACAGAAAGTCAAAAGAATGCAGGGGTTTTTCCGACAACGGTAAACCTCTTTCTATAAGGAAGAAGCCTTTTTCCGAAAGAGCTCTTTCGAAAACAGGGATGTGTGGAGAAGAGGGGTGTTTTTTCAAAAGAAGAGGCCTCCAGGAAAAAGCACAAGTGCCCTAGTGGCCACTCTGTCTATAGTAATCACAACTTAAATGCGAGATAGCGTCCATTCAATGTGGAGGCTATCTTTTGAAAAAGCAGATCTTTTGAAAAAGCAGGGACATAATTCAAAATGACCTTAGCAAGTTAGAGAAATGGTCAGAGGTAAACAGGATGAGGTTTAATAAAGAGAAATGCAAAGTGCTCCACTTAGGAAGGAACAATCAGTTCCATACATACAAGATGGGAAGCGACTGTCTAGGAAGGAGCATGGCAGAAAGGGATCTAAGGGTCATTGAGGACCACAAGTTGAATATGAGTCAACAGTGTGATGCTGTTGCCAAAAAAGCAAATATGATTCTAGGTTGTATCAACAGGTGTGTTGTAAGCAAAACTCGTGAAGTCATTCTGCCGCTCTACTCTGCACTAGTTAGGCCTCAGCTGGAGTACTGTGTCCAGTTCTGGGCGCCACATTTCAAGAAAGATGTGGAGAAATCGGAAAGGGTACAGAGAAGAGCGACAAGAATGATTAAAGGTCTAAAGAACATGACCTATGAAGCCAGGCTTCATGAACTGGGCTTGTTTAGTTTGGAAAAAAGAAGATTAAGGGGGGACATGATAGCGGTTTTCAAATATCTAAAAGGGTGTCACAAGGAGGAAGGAGAAAATTTGTTCCTCTTGGTTTCTGAGGACAGGACAAGGAGTAATGGGCTTAAAGTGCAGCAGGGGAGGTTTAGATTGGACATTAGGAAAAAATTCCTAACTGTCAGGGTGGTCAAATATTGGAATAAATTGCCAAGGGAGGTGGTGGAATCTCCCTCTCTGGAGATATTTAAGAACAGGTTAGATAGACATCTGTCAGGGATGGTGTAGGTGGAGCTTGGTCCTGCCTTGAGGGCGGGGGGCTGGACTCGATGACCTCTTGAGGTCCCTTCCAGTCCTATTATTCTATGATTCTATGATTTTCAATGCACTTTTGCTGTGTGGATGCTCTCTTTCGAAAGAAGTTTTTTTGGAAGATCTGTTCCAGAAAATCTTCTTCCAAAAAAAGCCTGCAGTCTAGACGTAGCCATACAGAGAGAGGAGGGGGAATTTTTTTGGATGGTGCTGAGCTGGATGAAACCACATGGTTAGGATAAGAGGCAGGGAAAGAATACAACATATTCAATAATCTTCCTTCCCCCAAAATAACTCACGTCAGGGGAAAAAAATTAAATAATGTAGTATAAAGCCTCAGAAATACTAGAAAGAGGGAAAGATGCTGAATGAAAATGAAAGTAGGAACAAACGATAAAGTGGAAAAAAAAAGAAGGAAGAAGGAGAAGGACTACAGGAGAAGGAATCCTAAGCAAGTCAGGCGCTCTAAGGGTATGTCTACACTACCACCCTAGTTCGAACTAGGGTGGTTAATGTAGTCATATGAACTTGCAAATGAAGCCCGGGATTTGAATTTCCCAGGTTTCATTTGCATGTTGCCGGGTGCCGCCATTTTTAAATGTCCGCTAGTGCGTACTCTGTGCCCGCGGCTACACGCGACACGAACTAGATAGTTTGGACTAGGCTTCCTATTCCAAACTATCTGTACGCCTCATGGATGTTAGGCCTTGTCTCTACTTAACAGGAGATAAACACTGCAGAGATTGATCTTGCCAGGTTTGATTTAGCGGGTCTAGTAAGGACCTGCTAAGTCAACCACTCATCATGCCCCTGTTTACTCCGCTATTCCACCGGGTTGCGAGAAGTAAGAGAAATCGATGGAAGAGCTTCTCTCATCAACCTCCTGCAGTGGGGACACTGTGGAAATTTGAAAGAAGATACATAGACTCCAGCTGCATTATTTATGTAGCTAAAGATGTGATCTTAGTTAGACTTTGTCCCCTAGTGCTGACCTGGCCTTAAATAGCTCCCTTATTCCCCGAGAGCCATCCTTCCTGCACTTTGAACTTCTCTACGGCTGTGTCCAGACTCAGGGTTTTTTTCGAAAAAAGTAGCCTTTTTTCGAAAAAACTTCACCTGCGTCTAGACTGCAGCCGCGTTCTTTTGAAATTAAATCGAAAGAACGCGGCTTTTCTTTCGACGGCGGTAAACCTAATTTCACAAGGAAGAACGCCTTTTTTCAAAGTGCTCTTTCAAAAAAAGGTGTTCTTGAATGCAAACAGGGGTTTTTCGAAAGAGAGCATCCAGACTGCCTGGGTGCTCTTTCGAAAAAGCGGCTTGCTTTTTCGAAAGTTCCGCTTGCAGTCTAGACACTCTTTTTCGAAAGAGGCTTGCAGTCTAGACATAGCCTACAAGAGCAGAACTCTCGTGGAAGAAATAGCATATAATGTTATAATTAAGGGCTTCACCATAATGCATATACTCAAAGGGGCTAAATTAAGATCTCCCAGACAGCCTAAATACTAGCATCTTCTAACTTTTGACTGTTTGACTTTACTAAATAAAAAATTATTTGACACAGATTTTTGTACATAATCATTAATATATTACCAGTTATACATTACCCCACCACATATTTTTTTAAAAAAATTCTTGCTCAACTCATCCCACTTCTCACACACACAATGGCACACAAGGCTAATTATGTAATATCTTTTTTTTTCTTTTCTAAACAACTTCCACCTGCTCTCTAAATGATTCGTGACACTATAATCTGAGGACTGGGACAACAATGTGACTTCCATGGTTCTGAATTGTATTGTTGCAAACACTGGTTTGTGGCTTCAGTTCAATGATTCCAAGAGAAAACAATGAATATCAAATACATAAGAAACTATATGAGGACAGATTCTTTATTGCATCTAGCTTCACCTAGGTGCAACAGAGCAGGGATCTATTGGAGACTTGATTACAAGTCACTGATTCGTGGCCCCAGTCCCAATTCTCATTCAGTTTAGAATAGCTGGAAGGATCTTTTATTTTGTGGCACTTGATATGGCCTCCAAATGACCCAGTACTAGTAGTAGGTAGCTGAAGAAGAATTTTTTTTATGTTCTGGCCATTCCCTGTCCTGGCCTGCAGCATGCCTTTATGTGCCTTTTATGTTGGGGCCGCATGAGTGGCGTATGAGCGAGTTCTACACGTGTTGGGGACTCTCCAGCTATGGCTACACTATGAGTTTTTCCATAAGAAGCAATGTTAATGAAGCGCAGATTAGCATTTTCTCGTGCTTCATTTGCATACTCTTTCGTTCAGTTTTTGCACTAGGGGTTTTTGCACAAAAACAGGCAGTGTGGCCATGGCCATTTCGCGCCATGCCCGGATAGTCATAAGGATCTTCTGGAAAGAGGGGTTTTTGTGCAAAACGGCCACGGCCACACTGACTGTTTTTGTGCAAAAACCCCTAGTGCAAAAACTGAACGAAAGAGTATGCAAATGAAGTGCGAGAAAATGCTAATCTGCACTTCATTTGCATTTCCTCTTGCAGAAAAACTCAAAGTGTAGACAAAGTCTCCCATGAATGGTGTGGCAGCAGAAGGGGCTTATGGAAGATTTCCACTCTCTTTACATTGCCTCAAAGATCTGTCCCCAAATTACTTTCCACAGAAGAGTCAACCAGGGCAGTGCAAGCTTCATTGCTTGGTCAGAAAGGAACATCTCTATGAATGAGAGACTCAAGAGAACTATGCT